TTAAGACTTTTAACAAAATGTTGGAGGGAGAGAGATTACAGAGGTAAAGGCCTCCTTCATTGAATTAAGAGAAAGAAAGTAAGAACTCTTCTGAGAGCATGAGTTTCAGTAACCTCTGGCTTAGAGATATTGGTCATGAAAATAGAAGTTGTTTTGATGGCCTTACCTTTGGAATCATGAAGGATGAGACCTCCTCCGGCCATTTTAGAGTAAATTGAGAACACAACATCAACATTGAGTTTGAAGTGGCCCTTAAGAGGAGGCACCCATTGTGATGGAGCACAAGGGATTTCAACAGTTGGAATTGCCTTTTACAATTTTGAAACAGGGTAAAGTGATGAAAAAAAAAAAAAAAAAAAAAAAAAAAATCCAACTATACATATATAATGTGCAAATACTTTATTGATGTTAGAGTAATATATACTCACATCCCTTCATGTTTGCCGTAAAGACAGGTATGTATAATTTAGGCATTTTTTGGACAACGACAACAAAGACACCCAAACCATGATGAAAGTACATTTTTACCCTTTGACCACCTAAAATGACCAAACTAGCCTCGGTCAATGTACACCACATGTAACACCACCTACCATCGCCATCATCACCAACCCCTTCTGGGGAAACCCACCATTACCACTGTAACCTCCACCATCACCACCACCACCCACCATTGGTACACCTCTTCAGTAATCCTCCCGTATTGGTACATAATGGCATCAAATCCCTCTTCTTCTCTAATCCTCCTCACTCCTCTCTGCGCACTCCGACCGCACCCATCGCGTCTATTAGCTGTTCACCCTCACTAGAATCCACGTGTTGGCAACGAGGTCACGAAAGATGTTAAGGTAAATTGACAATTCTAGGAACATGACCATCGATCAGAAGCGACCACCACTACCAACGTTGAGCAAAAGCAACCAAAGGCTTCACGAAGAAGAGAATCGTGAATCAAAGTCAAAAAGCCCTATACAAAAAGTGATAAAACCGTACAAAGTTTTGATCCACAACAGCATAATTGGCGATGGCATCGCAGAACAAAGTTCTGCTCGGCGATGGGAGTAGTTTCGCTGTCGGATAACACATTGTCGTTCTTCTCATAGCCTGTGCGGTTCATCTTCTTCGCCGCTGGTAACTTCAAACCAACGGTAATTTCAATCTTCGCCGTGGGTCAGATCAAGATCGAGCTCCATCGACGCTATGTTTATCAGATTAAGCAGCAGCGACAAGACCGTACCCAAATTCTTGTGTCACTGGTGTTGGTCATCTTCGCCGCTTGTAATTTCAAACCCAGTTCAGCATCGACTTATTTGCATCGACGCCATATATTCATAGCCAGATCGGTGTCGTCATCCCAAGCACGTCATTTCTCATCGCAAGTGGGTTCTTCAGAGTTTTCTATCACCGCTGCTTCATAATCGTCCTCTTAATCGCAGTCTTCGAATATTTTGGAGGATGAAAGGGTTTTGGGTGGTAGTTTGAGATTGAAATAGAGGTAAGAAAATAGAGACGGAAAAGAGAAGGTCATTTTGGTTAATTAAAAGAATTTATAAAGGTCATTTAATAAATCACATGGGTTGATTCAAAATTTAAAGGGTAAACATGTACTTTCTTTGTGGTTGGGGTGTCTTTGTCAAGGGTTACCTTATTGATAGATGGAAATTACCTCCTTTTTTTAACAATAACATCCCTCTAAGTTTGCTCCGCTTGACAAAGTCACCTAAGCAATCTGATATATGATAAAATGACTATAATGCCCTTTAACTTGTCAACTGACTCATTGGAATATTAAAATTACTAATTTAATCTTCTGATTAATTTTATTGACCAACTAATTTCTTTTATCTCTACCCATAACATATATATATATATATATATATATATAATCTCCTTCTATAGAATGGGGGAAGAAGAAGAGGGTGGTTGACATCTCACACTACCATAACCACCATCACTAAGGCGGGGGCCATGTGCAACACCACTAGCACACCGCCCCACCACCACCACTTCACAACCCCACTCATTCCTCTCTTCTACGCTACCTCACGGTCTAACCCAACCACCCATCATCACCACCACAAACTTCACAACCAAGTTTCCAACAAACGACTCAAAAGACAAGTTGTTAATCTACTTTAAACCAATAAAAATAATTGGAACAACAACCCAAAAGCTTCGTCAACTCCTTTCCCCTCCCCCAGACTCTTCTCATTCTCTCTTTCCTCATCATCACCCACTGTTGGGGCATCGCCATCAAACCCTCAGGCTTCGTTTAGATAAACATGAGAAAAGAAAAGAAAGAAAATGACAGAATTAATTAGTATTCATTTTTAGATAAATTAGGAAGGAAAAGAAAGAAAAAAAATGATAACATTCTTATTTGGAAAAGACGAAGGAGAAAAAAGAAAATAAATTATTTTAATCAATTTTCTATATTAATCAATTAAGGACTTAAGCTTTTGATGGGATGGGGCAAAAATATACCGGGTGTGTTTGTTTGAACTTAAGTAAAAAAATAGACGTGTTTTACACAAGAAAAAATAATTTAAAAAAAAAAAAAAAAAAAAACCTCACCAGAGTTTCAATCTATAACCTTAAAAGTATTATCCGAAGAGCATTGATAGCACATGGGAAATGGGTCATATAGCTGCGGCGGTTTAGTTTACTCGGGGTGGGCTTCGTCACTTGAGGAACCCTACACCACACTCCACTCTCCACTAGTGGGATGGAGTATGGAGTATGAAGTATGATCATAACGTATAATTGTGTGAGACAAATAATATGTATTTATTTAAGCCTGGTTGTATATTTTGTTTATATTGTGTGAATCCATCCTTTTCAAGTTTTGTTATATCAATTAATTAATTTTAAATAGTCATAATTTAATTAATTAAAAAAAGACATTTAATTTGTATAAGAATTTAATTAATTTTTTAAAAGTGCTGTATTTTTTGAGTTTTTAATTTAATTTTATTATTTTTATATAATAATGTGAAAATTCTATTTTATTTGATTACACGAAATTTAAACATATTCATTACCAAATTAATTCCACAAATGTTTCATCAAATTTCTTCCAAGACCAACAATTAATTTGAATAATAATATGAAAATATTTTTTTAATGTATATATTTTAAAAATTTTCAAGACATATAATTGAGGTAAACAATTATAGCCATTAGAAATATAATTGTTAAAAAAAAAAAAAATACAACCAAACAATTGAAATAAAATTAAACAAAATTTATTTTATTTTTTTAATAAATAAATTAAAATGTAAAGCCATGACTCTTCAAATTAATCAGCACAATTGAGAATAATCCTTTCTCATTATGACTAAGCTTGTTGAAAAGTGTTGGGAACCAATATACTACTACTCCTTTAAAAAAAAAAAAAAAAAATTATTATATTAGTAGCAAATGAATTACCTAAAATTCACTAGTGGTGTAATAATATAAAAAAAAAAAAAAAAAATTATTATATTAGTAGCAAATGAATTACCTAAAATTCACTAGTGGTGTAATAATATAAAAAAAATTAAATTGATAAATTAGTACATTAAGAGGCTGTTTGGCATATGTTTTGTTTTGTTTTAGGCTTGCTACAGTAACCCCTTTCAAGCCCAAAACATGTTTGGCTGGGCTTGTTATGTTTTAAACAGTAACAAAACAATTTCAAAAATGGGCCCAAAATATGAAACACCATTATGGTGTTTTTGTACGGTTTGGGCTACATTACACTGTGGCGGAGGAAACAATTTGCTCATTTAACTGTAGCGGAGGAAACACATATAAAAGGCAACATTCGTCATTTTCTAGGGTTTTGGGTGCAGTTTCTATTTGGGCAATTTTAGGCGATTCTCAAATCATCTCAGCCTCCCCAATCGCCTCCAACTCTATTCTTGTTCTCAACTCTGAACTTGCATCTCTCTGTCTCTGCAACTATAAACTACTGTAGTCTACAAGAATCAGATGTTCAAAACCCATATTAGAATCAGATGTCTGCAAGAATCAAAAGTTCAAACCTATATCAAAACCCATATCAGCATATCATTTCAGATTGTTCAAAAAATCAAAACCTATATCTTTTAGTTTCCATCGCCCACTGTTCCGTTCGCAAGCTTCCGCCGCTGCCTGCTGTCTCTCAACTCTCAAAACCCATATCTGCGTATCATTTCAGATTGTTTTAAATTTTTTTTTATTCAGAATCACGGTCTGTAATTCTTGTTTTAAAATTTTTTTGGCTAAATCAATTTGAAATCAAGGTCTGGAATTCTTGTTTTAATTTTTTTTTTTTTTTTGGCTAAATCAATTTGAAATCAAGGTCTGGAATTCTTGTTTTAACTTTTTTTTTTTTTTTTTGGCTAAATAATTTTTTTTTGGCTAAATCTATTTGAAATCAAGGTCTGTAATTCTTGTTTTAAATTTTTTTTTTTTGGCTAAATCAATTTGAAATCAAGGTCTAGAATTCTTGTTTTAATTTTTTTTTTGGCTAAATCAATTAGTCTATCGAAATTATTTTTTTTTGGTAAATCTATTTGAAATCAAGGTCTGTAAATCTTGTTTTAATATTTTTTTTTTTGGCTAAATCTGTTTTAATTTATGATTTTTTTATATTATTTTATTTTATTTTATGAATTTTAGTTATAAATATTTGTGAAGATAATGACTGAAACAGGATCTCCTTTCTGGATTTGCAAACTTGTAAACAGGATAATAATTAGGTTATTGCAAAAAAATTTAGGGCTTTTATATGAAAAAATATTGACAATATTTGAAATATTAAAATGTGGTTTTTAGACATTTTTGTAAATAAATTATATAATTTAATGATATAAAATTACTATTTCATAAAATGTGATATTGTAACAGTTAGGGTGACCAAACATGTTTGGCATATTTTTGTTTCTGACATTTTCATAGCAAAACATAATTTTCAAATGGGTTTTTGAAATTTTTTTCAAAACACTCCTACAACAAAAACACTGTTTCTGTTTTAGTCAGAAACAAAACGCCAAAAATAAAACGCATGTCAAACAGGCCCTAACTTTTTTAATATGACCGTCAGGGACAGGAGGAGTATTTTACACAGCGGAAGTCCTAACAGAAAAAGGTTTACACTTTCTAAATCAGTATCTCCCAGTTTCCTAAGTATAAACTGAGTAGGACTCACTTTCCCAAATCAGCAAATAAATCTTCTGAGCTCACTCCTTCCTCACTTCCTTCATCACCTCTTTACAAACCAAGATTCGATCTTTTCAACACAAACCCACTCGTCCCCAACTCTCCAAATAAAAAACCCAAAACAGAATCAAGAAAATCAACCATTATCATGAATCTGAGGAAGAAGATGGGGATTTCAGTGGACGATTGTGTGGAGGTATGCAGCAAAGAAGATGGGTTTCTGGGCTCCTACTATTCGGCCAGAGTAATTGGTAAATTGGGCAAAGGAAAGTTCATGGTGGAGTACATGGATCTAGAGGAAGATGAGGATGGAAAAGAGAAGTTAAAGGAGGTGGTTGATGCTGCAAATATAAGGCCTGTGCCTCCAGAGATTAGGGTTTGGGGTTTCGATGTGCTGGCTAAAGTGGATGCGTACGATCGTGATGGGTGGTGGGTTGGTAGGGTCACTGGGACAAAGGATGATTCCTATTACTATGTGCATTTTGATAGCTCCGGCGATGAGATCACTTACCCAATTTCCAGGTTGAGGGTTCATCAGGAATATGAGGACGGTCGTTGGGTTCCTTCTCAGCAAAAAAAGGGTATGATCTTTGTAATTTGATCTCTCTCTAAATTGGTTTCACTATTTTCATTTTATTTATTTATATATATATTGGAATTTCTTGAATGAGAGTGGTTGCTATATTGTGTCACGGATTCGAATTTTAAAAAATAGACTCTCCACGCGGAGGTAAGGGTAGACCTGACCCTCCAGACTTTGCAACGACGGAAGCTTAGTAAGCTCTATTCGATTTTTATGATTTTCCATTTAAAAGCATGTATATATGCATGGTGTGGTTGGACTTTGAGCTTATTATCTAACACAAAGAAAAGGGCAATCAATCTGTGATTTTTTTAGGTATTTAGTTAATTATGGCTTAAGTGACAGAATCCAATTGATTAAGGCATTGTTTGTGTGTGTGTGTATATATATATGTAATTATGGGTGTTTATAATTTTTTTTTTTCTTTTTGCACAACTATTTATACAAGTTCATATCAAAAGTCTATGCATTTAAAAGCCATTAGGATAACTAAATATATGAAATTAAAGTAGGAAATTTTGTCAGCTTTGCAAAATGAAAATAAAATTAAAAAAGAGAGAAAAAGAAATCAACAAAAGGATGGGGTTTTAAGTTGTTACTTCAACAATCTAATTATATATGTACACTAATTTTGAACTATTTTGGTAAGAATTCATTAACTGCTGTTTTCTCCTGAATAAAGATCATGCACCTCTCTTTTCTGGTGCGATTGTTTTGGTGAGCTTGGTTATCTTGGCGCATCTGAATGTTATGCTAGCTAGCATCGTTGGTTTCGTAAAGTACTAAATTATTAACTCATTGTGGTATCTGAAGTCTAATTTATGTGCTCTGATGATCTGATCTGTTAGGATACGAGGCCACATTGAATCCATTGATGGCTAAGCGAAGCAGAGTCTCCGGGATTTGGTGAACTTAACTTGTAGCAATGTAATTTGCGATCATATGGAGGCTTTGAATTCTGGAGAATGCGGAGCTCACAACTAGAAGAGTAGTTCAAATGGTTGATTTAGTCTAGGATTGTGGAGAACCGGAGGTTGGAAAATTGAAAAAGGTACTGTAATATAATTCTCCTTTTCCTTCTCTGTCTTCCATCTCCAAAAAAAAAAAAAAAAAATTAAGCATGGTCGTCCATTTTGTATTATGGATGTGACATTGTCCAAAATTGTATATTTGTGTGAAAGAATGAGATTTTGAGTTTCTTCATACTTTCGTTTTTATCTTCATATTTCAAATTCTCTCTTTCCCTTTTACATATTTAGCATGCTCAGAAATGTTTTATTCAAAGTCACTTATCGGATTGCATAATGCGAGATCTGAATCCAATCAGCGGTGAGTGATTGGAATGAATAGAAATGTTAGACAATTTAAAATAGAGACATCTTAATCGGTATTACTTACTGAAAATAAAAAATGGTAAAAAAAAAAAAAAAAAAACAATTTATTTTAATTTAAATTCAGTTATAAAAAAGTTTATTTTTAGATAACAGCCTTTTATAATTTTTTTGAATTTTTTTTTAAATTTCTTATACAGTCTATTACTATTTAACACATACGCAAATAATGTTTTTGAATTTTTTTTTAATTTCTTATACAGTCTATTACTATTTAACACATACGCAAATTAACTGGCTGTAATAATTTCTTGAAGAAAGGGGAGATTTTGACTGGCTGATTGAAAAGACAAGTTTATGGTGAGAACAAACCATGTTGTGTCCATTGCGTTTTGGATGATGGTGGTCAAATTTTGCCTTTTCCAATGCATGGAATGATAAGAAACTCTCTTTGGTTAGACTATTAAGTGTGTGTGTGTGTGTGTGTGTGTGTGTATGCTACTTGAGGTATGCAACTTCTGTTGGACAAGTCACAATGCCATAAAAGCTAACATTTGTCAAGGAAAAAGGAACAATCTTAATCAGATCCATTGTTTACCTTCACTGTTTACAAAAACAAGTCGTAACATGAGATGAAGTCTCAAAGAACACTGTAACAAAACTATCATATAAGTTAAAGAATGTGAAAGTCTTTTGGTTCATTTAGATAATTAAATGGATTTAAGTAGAATTATTATTAAAATAATAATAATAATAATAGAAGTTAAATTAGAATATTTTTTTGCTTTCAAAAAATTGAAAATAAAAAACGTTACAAAAATTTTGCTTGATTTTGCTTGGTTAAACTGAACATTCAGTTATAAAAAGTTTTGTATAAAAATGTGTATTTTCAGATAATTGTCTTTTATAATTATCTGAAAACAGATTTTCTTTTTCTCAATTTTTAATAATTGTTTTCATATTCATAAACAAAAGAGGCCTTATTTTTATTTTTATTTTTTATTTTTTATTTTGTAAGGAATGAGAGCAAGAATTTGGGCCAAGGCTTTTGAATCTTGAATTCAGGCTTGGGCTTCACTTAGCTCCTCTGGGTTTCTTGAGCAACTATCAAGTTGGGTTAATTACCCAATACCCCTAACAGTGGTGGAGGCATTATATATTTATATAACACTTCCCTTTTTTAAATTGTGAGGAAAGCTTATATTATATGGGCTAGTGTTCATTGGTGGATTAAAAAAATTCGACGTAACTTATAACTTGTCGAGAATTTAGCAATTTCATAAATTTAAATTTAAACAGCAAAAAAATATGAATTAACGTCTATTTCGAAGCACTAATTGGACGTTATACTTAAAAAAAAAACACTTGGTGTTAACTTTAAGTGATATGTGTGGTTTTCGTTCAATAGATTGGAACTTGGAACACATTCTCAAATTAAAAAGAAAAAAATAGAATACCCATTGTGCCGGGCACACGCCCCCCTTGCCTGGTATAATATATATATATATATATATATATATATATATATATATTTGAATATTATGTACACCTAAAATTATTAGTTTCCAAAATTTTCTTAAACTTTTTTCTATTTATCCTCTTTTACTTTTTAAATTTCTTTAATTATCTTGTGAAACGGGTTAAATTTTCATTATTCAATTATGTTCTAATTTGTTTGGTGATGAGACCGGACCATACGACATAAGTTTCACTAAGTGACTCAGTCGCTACTGTAGGTGGAGAACAGGATCCAAGTTCATTGTTTTAAACATTACTTTACGTTTGTTATACAAGACAATATATATATATATATATATATATATATATATATACCATTTCATAAATATATATATATAAATTTTTTTTCTTAAATCGTTGTAAGACCTCTATATTAAAGAATGTGGCATTTGTTTGTATGATCAATTATTTGTAATGTGTTCGTTAAATATTTAAAATTAAAAAAAATATTTTTAAATTATCAACTCAGGCATGTATTAAGGAGTGTCCTGATTTATCAGTATACATAAAACAACGTATGTGACATACACACAACGCTTTTATGAAATGGTTCCTCCTTAAGTTGACACATTAGTGTTTAATTGATACTTAATTGATCACTCATAAAGCTATAGACTCATTGGTTAGGTATCATATATCATCATATCCCATTACTTATTGTCACGAATAGTCTCTCATGAGGAAAAAACAGTAAGGTGATGAGGATGCAATTGACAAGGGCTTGAAGGTACTTTCATGTTTTAGGAAAGTTAAAAGTGAAAACATTTTTTTGGTTTTTTCCTTCTTCCTTCTGAAAAATACTTTAAAATATTTTTGTTATATTTTTTATATGGTATCAAAACAGACTAAATATTTATAGTATTGATATAATTAAATATATTTTTAATAATGTGACAATGTATAATTAAAGTTGTTGAATGAGAATTGGTAATAGTCTGTCCACAACTACCAAACACCCCCTAATCTGTGTAGGGACCATTAATATTATTGACTCGTGTTCATCTTTTTCCCTAAATTGTGATATGTTAAGGGAAAGTAATCTATTAATTCACAAACGTACTGAAAGATAACTGTTCCCAGTGAGCTAATGAGCCAATGACCTAATTAAAGTGCTACCAAGTGTGAATAGTTGATATATATATCTATATATATATGTATATATATATGTGCCTCTGTGACAGATTGGTTATTTTAAAGTGGATATAATTAGAAGTGAAATTGACATCCAAATAATAGATCTAAAAAAATAAACTTCCATTGATGTTCCACAGAATTGAAGGAGACATTTTGACCTAAAGGGCCATCATATTTCCCTTATTTTTCAATGTTGTCATTGCCATATCACATTCATAATTTTCGATGATAATTTTCTTTTAAAAGATTTACCATACCCTTTGTTATACAAACATACAAAGGCCTCAATACCATTTGCTATGTGAGATGTTCATGAAAGCAAGATTGAAAATAGGCTTAATATTTGACATTATTTTTATTATTATTTTTGAATAAGTAGTTGTTTTTCAAATTGAAACCAACATTTTCACACTTGTCACTAGTGCAAATTTGCAATAGCCTATGACATTCTATTTGAATCTTGATTACTGTTTTACAATTTTTTCTCGAGAAAGAAAAAAAAAAAAAAAAAATACTTCTTCAAAAGTTGAAGCTAATTTACATACTCGATCACAATTGCCCCAGAAGGATTTAAACTCTTAACCTCCTCCCCTTTGGGAGAGCAGATCATAACAATCAAACAGGTGTCCATGAAATAACTCAATACTTAACTATTAATTGTCTAATCAGACCAAGTGATTATTTGATTAGGGCTTCTTAACTATTTTTTTCATGATTGAGTACAAGTGAAATTAATGAGAAAGGACCTAACAAGATATGCCCAAGTGAATCTTAATTATATGAGGGACCATCTTCATGTAATGTTAAAGAGATATCGTTCATGGTTTAAACTTGTAGTTAGTTATTATTATTATTTTAATATTCAGTCAAAAACATTGGCATTGAGAAAAGATTTGATTCATATCAATATATCTAACTCTGTTCCTTTTTATTTTAAACACGTACATTTTTTTGGTCACGTCTGAATTCGAATCATTCACCTCATGTTAGGGAATGAAGAGATTATATCGTTGGATTAGACATTTTTTGGTTAATATATTTAACTCTAAGGGTAAATGGAATATTTGGGAACACATGAGAAGATGGGAGTTGAAACTGAAAATGGACTTAGACAACGCGTGTAGGAATGTTGCATCCATCTTAAACTGAATGGCTTGTCACCATCTTCTTTCATATATATAAAAAAGATGGCATCCTATAAAAATGTCCATATCATTATATCACATCGATTACTAGACTTGATCAGATGCTACAATTCAAGATATGATAATCTTTCACTCTATATATGTGACAAAGGTTGAGCTAGCAAATTAAGATATTTCCTCCAACTTTATTAATTAATTTTAGCCTCAGAGGAAAAAGGAGAAATAATTAAAAGATATATAAATCTATAAATTAGTACAATAATTAATAACCATGATATTGGCATATATATATATATATATATATATATATATGTGAAGAAAAATAGTGTAAACTGAAGATGAGTTATATATATAAGCATTTTATCATAATCACATGGTCATTCGCACGGATGGTATCATCGTGACGTGATGTTGAGAGTTTTAAGTCTAAACTGGGGTACTGTGTGTTTGATTTAACTTTTTTACAATATATATATATATATATATATATATATATATATATATATATAAATGAAAAACCATATTGTAACCAAAAGTACTATAATACCCCCACACACTGGGGCCTCCTGTCTTTGCTCACTTGGGCTTATCTTCCTCAATGTGAAAGCAAGCTGGACAAGTAGAGAATATGAGATCAGATTTATATTCATACAAGAATGCACTCATTATAGAATTAATATTTATCTTAAATTTGGGAAACATGTTGTTGAAGTACAGAGAGTATTTTGTTATCTGTATGCATATTTTAGTGAAAATTACAAACGTGAGGAAGGATAAAAGAAACCAAACGGGTAACAACAAAAACATCACTAACAGGATTAAATGATACAATTAACTGTTGTTTATTATTATTATTATTGGGTAAAATAATAGTTGTACAATATTATTATTATATCAATAAGCACTATCACCAGTATTAGTGATGGCAATGACGCTAGTGGCAATTATATTAGGAAAATGTAGTGTCACAGCCCTAGTCTTCAACAAAAAAAAATTGAAGTCTACATTTGTAATGATTCACTTAATAATAGTACAAGATCTTAAACACATTCTTAGAAAAGATTTCTTTTACTTAACATTATTTTGAACAAAATGACCGTTTTTAAACTCAAACTTCAATAGTCCGAGCTTTTATAATTGATCGTTGAGAATGTTTTCTTTTAATTGTGCTGTTGGATGATCATTGATCCTTTTTAATTTAATATATAAACAAAATCATTAAGAGTCAACTGGATGATTTTTTTAGAATATACTATATAATGTCTATTTACCCCTCCACCCATAGAGTTAAAAATCAAACGTTTTTATAACTACCTTGGATTTTGAGGGGACAAATCCATTTCTAGGAATCTAGGGCCACTACAAATGGATGAAGCCATTACAACAAACGTTGTTGGTGAAAAAAAGGGAGAATTTTTTTTTTCAATTACTGTCATTTTTTTGAAGTTGAATAAATTACTTTTCTAATATATGCAACCAAACCCATCTTAAATTAAAATTTGAGAGGAGCTTCTAATATATTAATGTTTGTGTCACTATTTACTATTTAACTGCGATCAAAATCACACCCTAACTCAGGTTACTTGCACCAGCTTCCATTTTACTAGGTTTCAAATCATAGTGCTAATTTTGCTAATATGCTTGATAATGATTGCTTTGATGATAGTAACACAAATATAAATATATAGCAAAAGATAAAAAAGTATACTTAATGCTAATAGTACCATTAAAGGAAGAAAATAATGCTGTGGGAGGAAGAAAAAAAGGAGCTAAAGCACTTTCATTGGACCCATTTCATGTCTCCTCCATAGTCCCATGATTTGATCTCCATCTTTCCTCCCACTGCAATTCTGTTTTCTTGCACCCCCCACTCCGGCCCCAAAATCGTGTACCTTTCTCTCTCTCTCGGCAAAATAATTCACAAGAGCTAGCTAGCCAATTCCAATGTCAAGTGACAAAGGAAAAGAATTAGTAGGAGGAGAAGGATCATCGTCGCGATCCATGGCTGCTGCAGCACCGGCTGATCATCATCAGCAGCAGCAACAACCGGTCCAACTGAGCCGGTATGAGTCACAGAAGCGGCGTGACTGGAACACTTTTGGTCAGTACTTGAAGAATCAGAGACCCCCAGTGTCTATGTCACAGTGCAACTACAACCATGTGCTAGATTTCCTTAGGTACTTGGATCAGTTTGGGAAGACGAAGGTGCACATACAAGGATGTGTGTTCTTTGGTCAGCCTGATCCAGTTAGGCCTTGCACTTGCCCCCTCAGGCAAGCTTGGGGAAGCCTCGACGCGCTGATTGGAAGGCTGAGAGCTGCATATGAAGAGAATGGAGGCTTGCCAGAGACAAACCCTTTTGCTAGTGGCGCCATACGTGTCTATTTGCGCGAGGTGAGGGACTCTCAAGCTAAGGCAAGAGGCATCCCTTACAAGAAGAAGAAGAAGAAGAGGAATATTCAAATGATCAAGGCGGAAGAGGAATCCTCCAATAAGCTCCCTATGCAGCCAGCTTGATAGCTATTTGGCTTCTCAAAAGAATGGTAATGGTAATATTTATATATATTCCCATTTTGTGATATATATAAATGGGTAGTTGTTTGCTTATAATTAAGCTCTTGAATTTGGATGAAGCATGGAATTTAACTTTCATGAAGTACTCATGACATGTGAGATATACATAATATATATATGGTGTATTTGTGATGTTAATGGATATATATAATAAGGCTTTCAGTTTTGTTAATTTTTTTACTCAGAAGTTAGATAGTTAGATTGGAGGTTACTGAATGAGGAAATCACACAAAAAGGGTACAAAATTCAAGAATTGGACTGTGAATTCTGTTCAGAAATAGAGGACAGTTCATTCCCTTTATGAGAAACCCTAGGCCAAGGTTTGGAAACCCTAATTTGCATAGTTACTTTCAAATTAAAGACACAGAATAACTTAGGTAACTTTACCACAACATCTTTTACATTCACCAACATTAGGGGCCATGATATAAATCAGAATCTCTCTCTCTCTCTCTCACACACACACACACACAAAATCGCAGTTTTTTTTTGGTTTCCTTATTTAATATTTCTCATTTTTATGCATACTTTTTTCTATTCTTAAATCTTTTAGGATTCTGCATGATCTTATGCTCGCCATGGATGGCCACTAGATATGATCACATTATATAAATAATCATAATTTTAAATTATCAGAATAAAAATAAAAAAATGCATGTATCATGTATATTTAATGAACTAAGTTTGCATATTTAATATGTTTGTTTGTTGGTGTTAGTACATCAGCAAATCAGATGAACATCTTAGATTTCTTGGAGATCTCAAATGCAAGAGAAAATCTGTTAATTACTTCTTCCTTGTATGCCCTTCTTTTTTATTAAAATTTCCATTCTCTCTTTTTATATATATTTCCTATTACTATATAATATTCTTTTATTTAGTACTGCTCTATATAATTGTCCTTTGTACCTCAACCAGATCTTCTTTTGTCTATTATCAAATAAGTGACAAAAAAACAATATATATGTATACTCCCACATCAACTACATATAGTCTGCAGTATACTTCTTATAATCATTTGGGTGATTGCTCTTTAGATTGATCAAATGGTTAGCATTAACTTGATTTCTGCTTAGAACTGTGTGCTAAATCATTGTATCACAATTAGCAGAAGTATTGTCAAAATTCAAATTTCATAATTATAGCAAAGGCTTCTACCAACAAGTGTGATTGGATTTGTCCTCAAATAGTGCATTCATATCACAAATTGTTGGTATAGATTCCTACAATTTTAGCAACTGTCTTAATCGATACTACTGTACTAGTTATACTCTCCAAAACAAGACTGTTTCTTTAATTAGTTACTTGAAATACATTTTTTTATTTATTTTCTTATAACGAAGAATCAATTCATCTGCTAATCACTTTGGACTCTAGGATAGTTTGTAAACTTTGAATACGTGCAATCACCAACAAATCATGTATATCATTCAAACCCAATTTTTTTACACTTTGTAAGAATCGAATATAGGTTGTCCGAGTTTACAGTTACTTAAAATGCATTGCTAGCTCTTCAATTTATAGATTGATCATAACCTTATATTAACTTTTTTTTTTTTTGTTTGTATTGTGAATAATATTAGCTATATAATAGTCCGAAATTTTGAGATCTTGGATGCCAGTAGCTTTTATCAGATAAGAGCTGAAGAAATTAATTCAATGATGTTGTGTTACATTAATTTTTTTTATGTCATTTATAGTCTCTCATATAGCTGTTGAGTTAATATCTTGGCTATTCAAATGGAAAAAACAGTTTTCTTCTAGATTATTTTGCTTTGTAGCAGTGTGACAAAATTCTCCAGATATACCTAAAATTCCATAATTTTATAGCTCACACTTCTTTCATCAAGAACCAATGTAATTTAATAATTCATGACTAATTCATAAAATTTACAAATATTATAAACAATTCTGATAATTTTGGCAAATTTATATATCCATTTTTTGGGTAGCTTTAACTTTGAAATGCATTGCTTTGCCAATCTCATATATTCTCTTTGATTTTCAGAACTCTATTTAATTTTAAGCCCTATATATGGAATTACTGCAGGCTCCATATAATTTTGCAGCTACTTCAAGCATCGGTATGTTTTGGAGCTCTATTGTATTGGATGTCACTCTTCCATGGACCAACTCTTCTTCTTTTTATTACCTTTTTTATCCCCTCAATATCTGGATTAAATACTATGCATTAGTTGTATAATTTTGAGAATTAATTAATGCTTGAATTTAATTTGATGAAGACAGACCTCAGAATTGAAGTGGATATATATTCTCTTCTTTCTTTCTTTTTATTTGGATTTAATTTTAATATAGTATTACATATACACAATCAGATTTATCTAGCTCTCATAATTTTTCGCAGGTTTATCAGAGTGATATACCCAAATTTGGCAAGATTGGTGGCATAAATATTTAAATGTCTTCCTATAAGATAATTTGTTTCATATATACTTCTTGTGCCTGTCTAGTTTCAAATGTGAGATTTATTTTTCTGTGCCATTATTAGAAATGACAGGCAAGTTGCTAAAAGTTCCACTAATATTAGTGTTAATTAGTCAAAGTAATTGAGACATTTTATTTTTCCTTGAGAACTATATGTTGGTATGGCCCACTTATTTGATATGATGTGATCTTTGACATCTGTCACACATCTTCAAACATAACTGGTCTACAGAACCATTGGATTCCTCTTCATTTTTACTCACGAATTTCATTTAACTCAATTAATTTCTGCTTTAATCTTATCTTCATGATGATTGCATTGGAATCTCTTTGCTTTAAAACCTTATACTCTTTCTTATTTATGTTTAACTAATTTTAATTGTGTATTATAAGAAATACAATTTTTAATAAAGGTTGTTCTGGTAATTATAAAACTCGTGTTAGAGAAATATTAACGAGTCATTAAGACGACTGAGACGGCTGTCGCTCAACAGTTGGTCAGCACTCGCTTTCAGTAATTAATCAATTATAATAATTGTAAATTGTTGTAATTTTTATTTTATATTTTTTGACTTTACAGTTGTTGTGATTGGTTTGACAAGTGTTTGAGATACAATTGTTTATGTAGCTTTTGAATAAGATGATGCTTTATGTAACCTAAAGAGTTTATAGAATCTATTTGTTGAAAAAAAAAAAAAAAAAAAAAAAAAAAGGAGAGTTAATAGTATCTAATAAGACAGTTTAAACATACTTATGCAATTAAGTTATATTTTTTACTATGAACTTGGTGTCTTCGAATTGAAATTGGATAGAAATGCAATCTTTAACGAAGGTTGTTCTGGTAATTATAAAATCCATGTTAGAGAAATATTAGCGAGTCACTAAGGCGACTGTCGCTCAACAGTCGGTCAACACTCGCTTTCAGTAATTAATCAATTACAATAATCGTGAATTGTTCTACTTTACAGTTGTGATTGGTTTGACGACTGTTTTAGGTACAACTGCTTATATAGCTTTTGAGTAAGATGATGCTTTATGTAACATAAAGAGTTTATAGAATCTATTTTTTGAAAGAAAAAATAAAAATAAAAAAGGAGTGTTAATAAAATTTAATAAGATAGTTTAAACATACTTATGCAATTAAGTTATAATTTTTACTATGAACTTGGTGTCTTCGCATTGAAATTGGATAGAAATACAATCTTTAATGAAGGTTGTTCTGGTAATTATAAAACCCGTGTTTGAGAAATATTAGCGAGTCACTCAGGCGACTGTCGCTCAACAGTCAGTCAACACTCGCTTTCAGTAATTAATCAATTGCAATAATCGTGAATTGTTATAATTTTTATTTTATATTTTTCTACTTTACAGTTGTTGTGATTGGTTTGACGAGTGTTTGAGGTAGAACTGCTTATATAGCTTTTGAGTAAGATGATGCTTTATGTAACATAAAGAGTTCATAGAATCTAATTTTTGAAAGAAAAAACAAAAGGAGAGTTAATAGAATCTAATAAGATAGTTTAAACATACTTATACAATTAAGTTATATTTTTTACTATGAACTCGGTGTCTTCGAATTGAAATTGGATAGAACTTATGTTAGAGTATTGAATCGGTGGTTTAAATTTGAAATAAAAATATATATATATATTATATTATTTATGGGAGCACCGAATCAATAATTTAGATTTGAGATTGGAAGAAATTTAATTAAAATTTAAAACTAAATCTCATCCAATTTCAAATTTAAAAGATTGATTTGGTTCTCTCAAATGCAATATTAGTTCAATTTTATTATAAATTCAAGTGATTAATCCAGTACTCCCAAACATGACTATGATTTAAATTAAAATTGGAGAGAAATTGGATGTATAAATTATTATTTTAAATTATTATATTTATTATTAGGTGCTCATTCAACCAAACATGTTAAACACGCATATAAGTGATCATGCTTATATTTTGATGTTTGTGGATCTGACAACGGTATTTAGTGCATGAAACTTCAAAATTCGAAAAATTAAGGATCAATAAGTGCAAACAAGGAGTAACTATATAAACTACATCTAACTACAGGTCTCTTGAAGCTTAACTATTCTTTCTTACCTTTCCTTAAGAACTATATAAGTATTTGGTATATCATTCCTAAATCCTAAAGCATTATATATATGTGATAACATACAATATTCTACTGTTATTAAGAACCATAAAATGGATCGTGGTGAGTAGATTTAGACAACAAAGATGTAATCTCAATTACACCACCACAATCTTACATTTTTGTCTCAATCCACGTTCTTGTGTGACCCTTCTCTTATCTTCTTGGTCACTTCAACCAAAGCACTTTATTGGAGAAATTAGAAATGGATTATTAGGAGCATTTTTGGATTTGAAATTTGACAAAATATAATTAAAACTTAAAAATAAATTTTTTTTAATTCTAAATTCAAAGTGCCAATTCAGAATTCTCAAACGCAACATGATTTATTTTGTGTAATGTTTAAAAGAATAGAAAACCTAATTTTTGCCCTCATATACTTTCAAATCGAAGTGAACACATTCAGTTTCAAGAATGCATTGATTATACATAATCAAACTGATCTATAATTTTATCTGAAATTCTTCTATTTAGCAGATCAGGAGGAAAAATAAATAAAAATCTTAACTTCACTTCTTTCATTGTGACAAGCATCAAACATCTTGCTAGCATTAACGCACCATCTAATGAAATATGTTCCATCTACTTGTAAAAAATTACTAATAATAAGTTTATTTCGTGTATTTTTATTGTGTGGACAATATCAATGATGCACCAAATAACGTATCCAAATATATATTGGCAATAATCCATATATAAGTAAAAAAAAAATTATTAGATGAAATGGCGACATGTCATTATGCATGGTGCGCATTACCCAAAAACCGAAGAGGTAAATGAAATATTATGTATTCTGAAAAATTCATTAAAGTTCTGCATAAACTATATGTTGTGAAACAACGATACCCGCTATTATGGGCAGAAATACAAAATAATAACAATGTCCGAAGAGTAAAACAAGCAATTACGAAAAATTAAAACAATCACACACACAAAAATATAAGATATACGTGGTTCACCCAAAACTTAGACTATGTGTATGGAGTGAATAGAACAAATTTCATTATGAAAAAGATGAAGGATTACAATGGTAAATTCCCTCGATCTCAATGTCTCTCAACTGCCATCTCTTGTGTAAGCACAAATCAATTCAATCATTTACTCATATGAATCACTCAACCACACCACATCTTAAAATTTTATTAACGTCAGTATAAATAGTCTCAGACAAAAGAACATAGGAGTGTTGTCTTTTTTGGAGAGTCAGAATATCACAACCCAAATCATTAGGATCCGAGTCATGAAACGGAAAGGATATAAACCGGGTTCCCACTCAAGCCCAAATACAATACTAGGGTAAAGTGGGGTGGAGGATGAGTTGACTCGGGTCAAATTTGTGCTCAAACTAACCGGCTTGAAGTAAGTTTTCCAATGGTACCAATCTCATTCCAAAATTCTAACTGAGTAAGTTATCCCCTTTTTAGTGTGTATTGGTCATAAAATCTCCTAAACCAGCCTATTTGTAGGAAAGCCATTATACTAGGAACCGGAACCTTATGGAATGTGTTTGATTGGTTAAGTTGACTAGAATAAATCCCATTTGACTGACTTTGAGGCAACTCACCCTCCATACTTGTTATGAAATGATCACTTTACCTCCGATATTGTATTTGGACTTGAGTGAGAGCCCAGTCCATATCCTTTCCGGTTCATGACTCGGATCTTACGGATTTGGGTCGTGACACATAAACCAACTTGTAAACAATTTTTACAACTTTCCACGGGAGTGCAACCGGTTCAAAAAAACGCAATTGGTTGCACTTGACGTAAACATCACCGGTTCCCTAAAAGCGGAACCGGACGTGATCTGATAGTAGCCAATGCTTGTTAATGTTCCCAAAGTGTTACTGGTTCCTGTAAACAGAACCGATCACCATATGACAGTAACCAAAACAAATGTCAGAAAAAATTAATAAATTTGATCGCTCCAAGTTCTTCATATAATTTCAACACGTGATTAGGCTCCCGAAACATCTAAAGAATGTTAGAGTAAATGTTGATCATACAAGTCAACTCCTAAGCTAAAGAGGCAACCAATTGTTTTCTATCTCTTATTTTAAATGAGGAGTGCAATTAAAATGGATTTGACCAATCGAAAGATTATTCGAGCTTAATCAAGTTATGAAATCCACAACTCTAGTTCACCTCAAACTCATTTATGAGTTCAGAGACTCAAATTAATTGGCTTCACGATATCATACTCAAGTTAATATAAAGTTGAAAGGCAAATATTACCTTGTATCATTTTTTTTGTTGTTGTTGAGATTAGCATATTATGTTTGCCTCTATCAATTTTTAACGTCAAGGAAAATTTGTTACAAAAATTAGAATCTCGTGAGAGATAAGTGAGATTATGATACATTAAAGAAGTCTGTGAAATATTGACAAACCTCATAATTCCTAACTACAAGAAAATTTTGTTACATAAATCAAAACCTCGTGAGAGATAGGTGAAATTATGATAAGTTAAAGAAGCTTATGTGAAATAATGATAAATCTCATAAAAGAAAAATGAAATTTACCCTTCTATATTTTGATAATAAGAAAAATGATAAAAATTTTAATTGGTTTTAAAACCCACTAATATGTCAATGGTTGAATTAAACTAGTACTTAAAAAGAAAGAAACTTTATCGGACACTATTTATTGTTTATTAGTATTGTCCAAAATCCAATTTTGATATTGTAACATTAATAATAATATTGATAATAATGGCCCTATATGTGGAGTTGGCACGGAGCTCAAGTTGTGCGACATTTATGCACAAACCAAATCCGAATCGAGTAACTCAATTTTGTGCTGGATATTGTGTTCCTGCTTGGGATGGCTTAACCCCTGCAAACAAACACTACCCCTAAAGTGTCGATATAGAAAATGGGAAGCCCTCCCTCGGCTTCCTTCGCAAGTTGCTGAATCAGAGAGAGAGAGAGAGAGAGAGAGAGAGAGAATAGAGAGAAGAGATGTCAGGAATTGGTCCAATCACTCAAGACTGGGAGCCGGTGGTGATCCGCAAGAAGGCTCCCAACGCCGCCGCCCGGAAGGACGAGAAAGCCGTCAACGCCGCTCGTCGCTCCGGCGCCGACATCGAAAGCGTAAAGAAATGTTCTTCTCTTCCCCCCTTTTTTTAAATTTTTCCTTAATTAGGGTTTCTGATTCTTATGCGTCTTCGTTGAATTAATATGTCTTTGATTATCTCATCTCTGTCTCTCTCTATATATATCTATTGACATATGGTGTTATTCTCTCTCGTTTTTATGATTCTTTTTCTTTTTCTTTTTCTTTTAATCTCCTTTTCCTTTCTGGATAGATTTATTTTAGTAGTAGGTTGAATATAGTTTAGTACTGATGTTCTCTGGATTGATATATATTGTGATAATAATATTTAATAAATAAAGACGCAAATTGGCAGATTGAAATTTGGAACTTTAGGGCTTATTTGTATGTGAATTGTTGTGTAGATGTTTATTTTTTTTCTTCCTGTTGCAAAAAGTTCTACAAAAAGATCATAAAGTTTTGGGTTTTGGGGGTGTGGTTTAGTGTATGTTTGACAAATGATATCTGAGTGAAGAGTTAAGTTGGCCTTAATGGTGGTGAAGTTCGTTAATGAAATTTAACAAAAGTATATTGGGATGGTTTCTGGGGACTGTATTTCTTTTGCAAGATATTTAGCTTGTGATGACTCCTATGAAATCTGGGCATGCTTCATTCGGTTAAAGCAAGCTCATTTAAGAAGAAAATGTTTCACGCATTTGGTTTGCATTTTTGTGATATTCTAAATCAAACTGCAGTCAATAAATATTTTGTTCTGTCTCTTTTCTCTCCAAGTATTTGCAGGCAACAGTCGGTTACATAGCTCAGGACTCTGCTTTAAAATGTTTGATTTTTGACAGTTTTGATGAGTATTCAAAATTTTGATCCTATTTGTGTTTATTAACTCCCCCTACAGCAAATGCGGGCACGAACAAGGCTGCCTCTAGCAGCACTTCTTTAAACACTAGGAAGCTTGATGAAGACACAGAGAATCTTGCTCGTGAGTACACAATTTTCTCCTTGTCATAAGTTAATTATCTACACTTGAATCCTCTTGTATGTTTGTGTATTAAATTATGTGCATCTGTATTAACTTATTTAGAATTGTGAGGCACACCACTTTGTTGGAGATGAATTGTATTTTCTTATTTTTTATTTTTATTTTTTTTATTTATATATATTCCTGCTTATTTTCTTTCTTGATGAGGCCTTAATTAAAATAAACTTTTTGGGTGCTATGTTTAGCCAAATAAAAATTAAAGGCACCCCATATTTTAACATACATATTAGTTGAGTGGAAAGGTACCCTAATATAATAGTATGGGCATTGACGTGTTATTTAGTGCATTTTGGTGGATAACGTTGGTAAATTTTGCATTGGTTTTCCATATTTCATTGATGTTTTTATGAACTACAGACACTTGATGTACGCCAATGGTTGCCCATTGCCTTGTCCTAGTGTGGGTTAACCTGGTTTTAAACTCCCTATCCCATACCGCCATTTTGGGGAAATGGCAGCATTTGTATGCAATAACATAAGAGATGGGAAAAATAGCATTTATTGCAGTTTTTGACATTTTCATGTCATCGTGTGCTGTATCTAAATGGAATTTCTTGTGGTTAATGTTGAATTTCACACAACCAGCTCAAATGTTGTCTTTAAGTTTTAGGCTTCTACTAGTGGCACACGTTTTGAAGTTGTTGTCTGTGAGTGCTTCACATAAGTTTTGAAGTTGTTATTTAACTTATTTATGAGTGCATCCTCATTTGGGATATTGAGGAAGGAGTAAATAAGAACTTTTGAAATAATAATTTTAAATTAGGTTATTGGGTTGAATAAATATCTCAAATCATTGAAGCTTAATAAAGATTTATTTTACGAACGTTTAGATTCAGGCATATATAAATAATGGAGAAGACGGGAATATTCAATCCATTTATCATCCTCTCTTTCCGGACACGTTTGGTACGTGGAAATAGAATGGAATTGTATGACCCTTCCACCTTTTGATTTTTTTTCTTCCGTTTGGTGTGCGATATAAAAAGTGAAATAGTCATTCCAAGTCACTCCCTTGGAATGCCCATTCTAACAAAAAGCTGGAATGAGTATTTCTCTTCTTAACAAAAAGTTGGAATGTCCATTCTTTTCTAACCTAAAATTAAAATAACATAACTTAAGACAAAATAAGAATAGTAAAAAAAAAACTATAGACACATTGGAGGGCCCATTGGCATGCATCCAGTAGGAATTGAACCTACGAATTCGCCAATTATGAAATGGCCAGACCAACAAAGGAAATTAATTATAATATAACAAATATAAAAAAAATTATAAATATAAATAATAAATAAACACCTGGCAAATTGGGAGGTGTAGCCGCAATAGCACCAGTTTGGAATGGGTACACTTGATGGTATACAAACTTAAGATGGGTTTTTTTGTCTAATTTTATTTTATTTTTTGGCGACAATTGAATGGACATTTCATGCATTAAGAAGAGAATGGTCATTTCAGTTTTTTGTTGGAATGGGTATTCCAAGGGAATGACTTGGAATGACCATTCCACCTTTAATATCGCAACCCAACGGAAGAAAATAAATCAAAAGGTGAAATGATCATTCCATTCCGTAGGTGTTAAAGGCGCAAGGTGCACTACGACTCCAAAGGTCTCCTAGAACGTAAGCGCAAGGCGCAACCATAAGGTGCGTGTGTAATAATGCATATTATTATAAGTATATAAAGAATAATTAAACTATGGAACTCAAACTTCTCAATATCAAAATAAAGATTTTTGTAACATATCAATTCTCAATGGATTGGAACAATTCAAGATAAGCTACACAAATAATGATAGGATATTTTATATATCAACCAAGAGGATTGGGTAAATTAATACTCATGGATAATCTCATATGCATATGCATTAACCAAATTAAATGTGATTACAATTCTAAAACAATTAAAAACTTTAATCATGCAAACTTTAAACATATTTATCATAAATATTCAAAATCAAGCACTAAATGCAATTACTTTAAGTACTTAACCATAAATTTATGAATTTTGTTAATTATCTTATAAAGTTGAACTATATGATCCACTAAATATGATCATGATATGATATAGAACATTTTAATTTAATAGTCATTAAATAAAAAGGAAAATGAGATGAATTAAATGATTAAATAATAAAAGGTGCGCCTTTTTTATTTATTTATTTTAGCCTAGAGCCTACTAAAGAGCGTGAGCCTGAGAATATTTTGGGAGCCTAACCGAATGGGCTTGAAGTGCTCTAACTGAGCCTTGGTCTATTTTGGAATCTAGGTACGCCTTTAACAACTTTGTTCCATTCCATTCCATTCCCGCATACCAAATGTGCGCTATGATGAAAAAAGAATCCTTACTTTTAATATTGTAATACTATAGTTTTATTGACAAATAATATGAAACAAAATACTTTTCTTCATATTCTTTATTGCAGTAAATGCCTGAATAGATTACTGAACCACTGCATACTCTTTCCCCACAATAATTTTATCAATCATTGACATCAGATTCCAATTATACGCGCATAATCCGATTTATTTCATTTTTTTTTAGTTTTCTTTATCTTAAATAATTCCTCTGCTGGATTGACTGCAATCTTGTTAACTTCTTCACTGTAACTGGTTGGGCCAAGTTTGAACCAAAAGCTAGTGCCTAAACCTCTCAAGAAATAAAATGTTGTGATAAATACTTCCAAGTAGTCTCACACACTTGTTTTAGTTGGGGTTTCTGTTTGGGTGATAATGTGATTCATTGTGATTCAAGGGGGTGGATTTTAACTTTTGACTGGTGCTATAATTGTTGTTATCGTGGGAATTCTCTGGTATTATGAATTCACGATACAATTGATGTATCAGTACTTATAAGTAGTGGAGAAAAACATCAATGGCAAGGTTCAGTGGACTCCACCCATCAACTGGGCAAGTTTGACAGAGCAATGGTGTGTCTGAATCACTCATTCACTTGCATCAAGCATTGTTCTGAATGCTGATGGTTGAAAATGTATTTTTCTTAAAATCTTCTCTCTGTTACTGTGATAGAGCAGAGCAGCGCAGCATTTTTGCAAATTAAATCTCTCTAACAAGGTTCTGCAAAGTTTCAGCATTCCCTTTGTAATGTTGTCTTGATTTTTCCAAATGATGTGTTTGGTCTTTTAAATATCATGCTCTTACTCGTTGCCTGTATCTTCACTTCCACACAGATGATAGGGTACCAACTGAACTGAAGAAAAGCATCATGCAAGGTCGTATGGATAAGAAACTCACCCAGTCCCAACTTGCGCAGGTCTCTCTCTCTCTCTCTCTCTCTCACACACACACACACACACACACACAACCAAAACAAAAGTAAAAATAAAAAAATAATTAAATAGATTTAAAAAAGAAGAAAAGAAAGTCAGTCACAATAGGATACTGACCATGTTGTTGACGTTTTGCAGATTATCAATGAGAAGCCCCAAATCATACAGGAGTATGAATCTGGAAAAGCCATTCCAAATCAACAGATAATCACCAAACTGGAGAGGGCTCTTGGGGTGAAACTGAGAGGCAAAAAGTAATAAATGGACAGAGCAACTGGCAAAGTCAACTATTGGCAAATATTATGTGTCGTTTTGGGTCTTATAAATGGGGTGTGTATGAACCTTATTCAGCACTTGTTATGAACCTTATTCAGCACTTGTTATGAACCTTATTCAGCACTTGTTATGACTCGTCTGTAAGAAACTAAGTTTGAATCTTAATTTCGTTTTTGAGGTGGTTTGAAACTTACATGTGATACATGTATACCCTGGACTGGTATGATTGTCTCTTTATTTTCAATGTTGAATTGCTACTGCAGATTCTGTTCTGCCTGCACATAAATGTATAGTGATGCACTCATGTTTACTTGAACATCCCAAGGATCTGAGGAACAAGAGTTGGAAGGATTGTTGGGCATGTTTGATTGGGACAGATTTCGGAATCCCATCGGCTATGGAACGGAAATTCATTGGGTGTTATTTAGAAATCCTACAGAAAGGGATTTAGTAAAATGTGGTGGTGGTGGTGGTGGTGGTGGTGGTGTTGTGCAGTTCTCGTACCCCATCTCATCTGCTTCTGTAGAATGCCCACTCAATTTCCATAAGACGTTGATTTATCCAAAAAGGAATAAAAATATATTTCAATGCTAAGGTAAAAATTTTGGGAGGCTTCTTGAAATGTTGTTGATTCATTTCTATTTCCAGTTCCACGGGGTACTAAAATGCTAATGACCCGCTAGCAGAAATCATATTCCAGATTTTATAGGGTATTCTTCGGACTGAATTGATTTCTCAAAACTAGAAACATTGTTTTCGGATTTGTTTTTCAATGCCAAATTAGTGCAAATTCACCGGTTCAAGACGAAACTGTTATGAACCATGCTTGTTTGTCACACTTGAGTTAGTAATGAGTTCCGAGTAAGCCAAAGCGAGAGGCACAATTCAAATTAGTTGTCATTGACACGACTTTAACATTTGGTTCAATATGGATTTGAAAGCCACCATACTTGGTTGCCGTGAAATTGTCACTATTAATAAATTGAGCCGAAGTCATGTCATATATAATTTTAACAGCAACATGTACATCATATGCTCCTTCCTGCCACACTGAAGCAGACGGAATATGAAGAAGTGACGGAGGAAAAAAAAAAAAAAAAAACTTGAATTAAAACATCAAAACAAACCGGTTTCTCGGATACACAGATAATAGGACATATATTACTCACAGGCCAGTTTTGTACCAAAGCTGGTGAGGCAAATGGCAAATGCCTGGAATGCTGACAATGGCTGCCTGTAATCCATGGTGAAAGTATCATCTCCTACCTTCCCAAACTGAAGGAGCACTGTTTCCTCATCGCCTTTTCCTCCTGGCTGGCTTTGGTCCATTGTTGCAACCAATTGGAAGTTTTTCACTGATGCAACTGTCACCCGACCATGAAAATTCAAGCACCAACATTGTAAGTGTTCATGCCACCTTGGAGCTTTGTTCCTCAAAACTGTGAATGCTTCATACTCTTGCTTCTTCGTCCTGGAATTGTCTAGAGGATTGTCAGCAGCAGTTTCTCCTGAACATGGGCATTGAAGCGAACATACCATCCTCCTTGGACCTCTTGATTTTAAGAGGTTGAACTTGTAGGAGACCTGTCCAACCTCAAAGTTACCTGCAGGAACTTGGGGACTGATTTGCTTGCTTGCAAATCGACGGCCACCTCTGCTGCCTGAGGGCTTTGCACCACTGTGTGGTGGCTGGCTGTCAAAGATTGTAAAATTGGTCCCGAGGAAATCCGAGCTGCAAAGAATGGGATTGAGAATTGAAACAGATTTAACAAAAAGGAAAAAGGAAAAGGCAAAACTCAAAGTATGCAGACACAATTAGGAAGATCTTTTCATTTTCTTTATGGATGAATTATTAAAATTATAATTTTGTTTCATATTCATGGATTGTTACACAAACTGCTAATGGATGCTGTCAGACAAGACTCTACACATGCTAAACAAGTGTTATATCAACATTTGTGGCTGGTCTATTCAGCAAAACAGGAAATTCGTACAGGGGGTTATTTTCTTCTTTTAATTTTTCCAAAAAAAAAAACAGGAGACTTACAAAATAGTTGATTCCATTTAAGGATTACAATTCTTCAAATTAGCAATGTTTACTGAAGTCAAATATTCCCTATTTGCCCTTGCAATGATTAAGCAGCCTATTTACTAAGATTGATTTCTTTCAACTCCTAATCCCAATAACCCACCAACCACTACAACTTTCTCATCCCTTCAACTAGCACTTTTAACTCATATCTTTTGACTATCCATCCACTCAGTCGAATTCCAATACCAAGTCAGCATGAGGACAAGGAACAATCCTCAAGGAACAAGACCAGCCACATAATAAATCACATTTAACATCATAAAAGAATTACTACCCAAATGAGATTAGCCATTTAACCGGAATATAGTTTTCTCAAGAACTCCATCATTTATAAGATTTGTTTGAGTATAGCTGATTATATTAAAATAATCAGATAAAAAAGATTTTAATGCCCTTGGTCCACTAAATTGGAATTGTCAAATGGTGACATACAACTCAAGCTATGTTGGACTGATTTAGTTGAGGCATTGAACTATAAAAGAGGAAATATAAGTCAAGTGTTCTGGTGACATGGGTAGATGCCACTTGTACTCTTATAATTATTAAAGGTAGAAGTTCGGAAGAAAAGACCTAAGTTAAAAATTTGGCTTTGCAGGACTTGCAAGAAAATATCTTTTTAAAAATATGGAACTCGTATCAAGAATTCATGTTCTTTCCTCCAAAGTTTGATTTACTATTAACAAAAAAAGAAAAAAAGAAAGGAAAAAAAAAAGGATCAGAGAGTAGAAGAATTTCATGCATCAACTGTCAACTGCAGCTACCAATAGGCTCTAGCCTAAATGGTATAAGCCCTCCTCCCCCTTTGGGGTGGTTGATTGTTACATGACAAATTCCAAAAGGTAAAATAACCCAACCATGTGAGTAAATAATGAAATGATTTATCTTGAGCATGTCAAAAAGTGAATTGCCTAATTTGCAGACTAAGAGATACCTTATACGGACTACCTAGAATATCATAGCAAAAAGCATAATGGTTTATACAATTTATCATTCTCTAAGGCTTTACCTTTCCTCCATAGCTCTCAAACATGTGATCTCCAATAAAGAAAATCAATTTGAGCCTAACATTTTCTCAGAGACTTTGCATGCCACCCACTAGTAACTTAACTGCCCTCAAAACTCTTTGTATTTTTCACAATGTGAACTACACTGAATTACATCATATAAACAGAACAACTGAAAGTCATGGTGATGTGTTTCTGCCAGAAGCATATTTAAAATTATTGCCCTCAAAACTCTCTGTTTTTTTCACGATGTAAAATACACTGAATTACGTCATACAAACAGCAGAACAACTGAAAGTCATGGTGATGTGTTTCTGCCAGAAAGCATATTTAAATTTATTGCCCTCAAAACTCTCTGTATTTTTCCCAATGTAAAATACACTAATTACGTCATACAAACAGTAGAACAACTGAAAGTCATGGTGATTTGTTTCTGCCAGAAGGTATATTTATGTTCTACATTTCTTCTTATATAATAGTGGAAAGAGGAAATAAACCTCAGGAGTCAGACTTAAAAGACTGCAGAATAATGAACTTGTCACTATAATACAAATGCCTAGCAGCGGATGATGTAATTTTGAATATGGGAACACACACACACCAAATAATAATAAAATTCATAAATGTTTCTAAAAAGCAGAGGTCGTTCAATTCTCATTAAAAAAAAAGAAGCAACGGAGACAAAACTTCAAACTTTTTCGCTTTGGTAGGCAAAATAGAATCCATTAAGAGCACAAACTCAAAAGCTTTAGGTTAAATTGCAGAAAATCCCTTTGAACTATACATGTGGTGCAGAAATTGAATAGGAATATCTTGAGGTATAGTTCAAGGGCTAAGAATTTGAAGTAGAAGAAAGTTCAGGGGGATTAACTCCCTGAACTATACATGTGCAGAAATCAAATAGGTTTAATGTGAAATAAATAGTTCAAGGGAATTTTTTGTAATTTGAGGTATAGTTTGGTGGGGTTTTCTGCAATTTACCCAAAACCTTATACAAATATAAACCATAATCTAAAATCTACCCACCAAGAAACTAGAGAACATGCTATTCTAAATGCCAGATATAAATACTAAAGTTTTTCAACTCAAATACTAATAAGACAACTGCATTCCAACAAAAGAAAGAAAGGAATCATATTACAGAATGACTCACCTTAGAGCTTTTATTTTTTTTACTAGGTAATATCTTACCTTAACTTGTAAAAAAGAGAAGGAATATCTTACCTTAACTTTCCAACGTAGGCATTACTTCCTTGGGATAGGTCATCAGCATCAAGTGATATGATGTACTCTGTGTGAGCACCATGCCTATACCTTCGTGCCGCTAAGAGAAACTTTCCCTTATTGGTGAAAGCTGCCAAAAATAAGACAAAACTCTAGAAGTTAAAAACATGCAAGATAAGGAAATGACCACAAAAGAAAACTACCGCAATATATAGGTTGAAGAAATCGCAACATTCTTTTTTTCCCGATAAGTAGGTTGAAGAAATTGTACTTGAAGCCTGATATCATATACCCCACGTTGCATCGATGAGTATTCATTTGTTTGCGAGTTCCCCTTTTATAGGTTGTTAAAATTATCACTCATCAGTTTTGAACTTTCATAGGACTTTTATTATTTATTTATTCATTTAATATTATTATTATTATTTTTGCATCAATCAATCATATCAAGAAAAAAGAATAATGAAAAAGGAAATAAATGTTCTGCAAACAAGTAGGGGGCATGAATCTTCACTGAAATCGCTTTGAATCGAAGATATATCTTACACCAAAAGCATAAGAATGAGCACCTATAAGTTGCGCAGCACAACATAAATGCTCCCCTTAATTCAAAATCGGTTTGGGCCCAAAGTTGTAAACAATTTCCTTCGAAGTTCACATTGCTGGAAGAATAAAAGTACACCAAGGTAAACTCTCCTCAAAGTTGGATCGCCTTTTCAGAGCATAAATTCAGTGTCCTCTATATTATTACATGGATTTGTCTAATCCTGTTGAAGCGTTCAATTTTTTCCTTCAAATTTCCAGGGGGTGAAATGATCATTATGTGGCAATTCCAACAATGGTACTCATGTTTTAAGAGGATTTGTTCAGAAAGTATCCTCCTAAACTTCAACTGAACTGTCAAACCCCCCGTTGAACTGTCAGAGAAGGCGCTGACTACACAAAAAAATCTAAACTAATAGAGGCAAATGATCAACTCCAAGCCCACTAGCTCTCGTAATAATATGCTTATATAACACAAATTAGTATGAGGTCAAACAGGCTTATTATATTACGTATTTTCTAAAAATAAAAGATCTTGAGGAACATCTGACTTCTTCAGAACATGACATAGGATTTCTCAGCACTCAAAGGCAATTATGATTACACATCTTCGCATGAACAATGCAATGGCTTTTAAATGTCTTTGAACTTGGGTGGTGGTATTGACAACTTGCGCCTTAACTATCAATTTTCTTTGCATTAGGTCTATAAAAGTATAACTTAAATTAAACTACATGGATAGTTAAAATTGCCGTCAAACAGCACATTTACAGAACACTTTTCAATTAGAGTACTATAATCCTCAAATATGAGAGAGAGAAAACCTTACAACCAGAAATTAAAGTATCACGATTAACAAAAACTCGATGATCCACCCCTAACATAAGAGATAGAAAAACACTTCCAACAAAATCTAAAAGGGACCAAACAAAGGGCCAAACTCTTTATTCGTCATTTTATAACACAAATCACTTATAAAAAAAAAAAATTGTTTATAATATAAGTCAAGTGCCACAATTGTTGTGGATCCCTCCAAAACACTCAATGAGAAGGCGTCTATAAGATTATGAAATTTGTACTAAATTTCCATCACATGAAATAATTCTAATTTTGGCAGAGCTCAAATAAAAAATCTCACAGCGACTTACGAAGAAAAAGCTGCTGGAAAAATATATCTTGTAATGAAGTCTCTTAGTAGTTAGTACAATACATTCTTCCAACAATTCCAAGTTTTATAAACTTGTATATGCATTATTATCCGCCCTATACATGAACAAACACCTCTTATGCACCAGTTTGGTTCACTTAGTAAGAAGAGAGAAAAAAAGAACGAACTTGTTAGAAGATAAAATATTGTTACAAGACCCATAACTACAAAGAAAATATTAATTTTAAGCTTTCTCCTCACTTTTTTCCTTTTCCTTTCTCCATCTGATTTTGCTTCTCTTCTTCTCTCAAATAATGAACCAAACAATGGGAGTGTTGCCTCTAAACATAAACGAGAGGCACAAATACAACATAGGATTTTTAAATTTTAATTTTAATATGTCAACACTCAATATGCTAGAATAGTATGACCAAACATGAGAACAACCAAACCAACCATTCATCTTTTTGAATTGATACAGAAGTCAATATTCTAATGTAAAACTGGTAAATGGAACACTTTGCATAATAAGTCTGACTATAGATGGTCAAATTTTAGACTTAGTCAAGCTGACTATAAACACCTCCTTGGTATGTCCCTACTTGAAAGTTGGGGTAGGGTGATTGACAAAGTCATTAAAGATGTCCCTTTCTAATTCTAGTATTGATTAAAAAAAAAAAAAAAAAAACTCTCGGTTCTGACATAAAAAAAGGAAAATTTTACTTACTAGCGTTAAGAGCAAGATAAAGGTAGAATGTTGAGTTTTTCTTGCTCCGTCTTATAACACACTGAAGTGGAGAGTCACGGGGCCCCGGCTGCGATAAAAGTAACAATAGTTAGACCATCAACCCCCAAACTAAGAACTTCTCTATCAAGTCAAATCAACAACCAAAAAGCACCCGATCCACCGAAATTTCCATCTTCCATTTGTAGGGTAATATGTCAACTACAACATTATGACAGCAATATGAAAAAAAAAAAAAAAAAAAAAAGAAAAAAAAAAGAAAAAGAATTCACTTGGGCCTTATCATATTCTAAAGACATATTTCATGTTTTATTTTAAGCTCACACCTGCTCCAGCACTCCAATTTTTTAATTTGCTGAAAATTTGCCCAAAAATTACTGGTATTACTGTAGCAACAATTAGGTTTTCGGAGTATCAGTTTTTGCTCAAAATTAAAATGCAAAAAACCCAGAATTCAAGTAAATCCTATAGATATGTGTGTGAGTGTGTCTGTCTCTCTAAATACAAGACAAATTAGCAACTGAGAATTGAGATAAACAATCCAATAAAAGACAATAAATCAACTAAATTTTCCCACATAGGCTAACCAAGAAGATGAACCAGAACCCTAAATTAGACCAGATACACTAAATCAATAATGATAAATCACAAAAAAAATAATAAATACATAAAGACCAATGAATTAATCACAAACATTATGAAAAAGCAAATTCCAAAAAAAAAAAAAAAAAAAAAAAGCGCCCAAAAATAAAACCTGTTTAAGACAAGAAGGGAAGGTGATGTTGCCACTGTGAACTGGAGACCTAACGATCTCTCTGGTGACTTCTCTCCACTTCTTGCACACACAAGCGCATGCCACAACGCTTCGCCGATTGGGCCACCGGTCCTCGCTCGCTTCCACTCGCCTTATGATCTCTCCGAGAAGCTCAGGCAACAAAGTAGACCACGAACGGCCACGACACTCTCGATCTGTAGAATTCGATTCGGCCTCAACGATGTCGTTTCCGTCGTCGCAATCCCTGTCATCACTGTTCTGCTTCGATTCGGTTTGCTCAGTATCCAAGATTTTGAGCTCTTTAAACGATTTGGAGAACACAAAGGACCGACTGGTGATCCTCCGCGAGAAGAAGCACCTTTTGTGTGACATTATGGTCTCATCCAGAGCAAGAGACGTAAAGAGAGAGAAAGTAGAGACGAGATATAGAGGAGAGAGAGAGAGAGCGAGGGCGAGCGGGTAAGAAAATGACAGAAAAATTTTCTAGGAACAGTTGAAAAGGTGTAAGATATATTCACACCTTGTCACAGATATTAAACGACGGTCGAATTGAAAATGAGGATTATGCTTTATACTCTGCAATCTGACCCGGAATCAATCCGAATGTTGATGGATACTGCAATGGACATGGTCTGTTATTTTTTAGTTTCGTGACAGCCTGTATATATAAGAGTGAAGATCTGTTTCACTTTGACTTGGTCTGAATCATAAAATGCAACTCTAATATATATATATAATAAGAGAGAAATAATAAATTAATAAATAAAATACACACACTTTGACTGGTCTTATTGACGTTATCAAGCTCAAAGTTGAAACATCTTGATCGACCTTTGAATTGGTAAGTAACATATCATATCGTTTGACATGTTCTCTATATGTACTATATACGTTTATTTGTGTTGAGACTTGAGACAATTGGTTGGTTTGTTTAATGAATTGATTGATTATACATATATGTATTGAGACAATTACTCTATGAACATATGGGGTTGCCTAGATATTTTTTTTTATTATTTATTTTACTGGAATTAAAAATTTAGTCCCATTTTAATGACTTTTAAGACAATTGGTTTGATTGTTTAATGAATTGATTGATTATACATATTGCCTAGATATTAAATTTTTTATTTATTTTATTGGAATTAAAAATTTAGTCCGATTTTGATGACTTTTGAGACAATTGGTTTGATTGTTTAATGAATTGATTGATTATACATATTGCCTAGATATTTAATTTTTTATTTATTTTATTGGAATTAAAAATTTAGTCCGAATTGATGACTTTGTCTTGTCAAATGGTAAAAATAATGATGTAAAAATTCTAATTTTGTTGAGAATCTAAATTGTTTTGTAAATTATAATGAACCTTGGATTCGTAATTTTAGTAATGAGTGATGAAATTTGTTTATTACAATTTGTCATAATAATAAGAATAATATTAGAAGTTCTAATTTTGATGATAAAATAAATCTGCGAGAGTTAATAATGGTGGGATTTATTTGAAGGTGTGGATGGGGAAGATTTGTGGGGATTTGAAGGGTAAATTATTAGAATTTTATATGAATTGTTATTATTAGAATTTTATATGAATTGGTATTGAATGAGCTTTTATTTGGACTTTTGGAGCATATTTAATTTGATTTGTTCAGAACTATATATTTGATAAATTATATATATTTAATTTTTAATAAGTGGTAAAATGTAAATACAAATAATTGTGGTTGAAATGATTATTTAAAGTAATCATTAAAGGCGGTAAATTTGATAATTTCATTTACTTCTCCAAACATGCTTGTTTGCGCTTCGATTCTGAATAGCTTTCCAATTTTATGCATCATTTTAAATAGCTATTTGAAGGTATTTTTTATTTTAGCTTCTTGTTACACATGAGATTCTAACTTATATATAGGCATCTACTATTAACTTGGTTGACAAGTAATTTTCTCAATATCATTAACCCATGGCGTCATTTGATAAGCATTTACAAGTTTGCTGGGATTCATCATAGTTCTTGATTCAATTTGTCCCATTTCAGTTAAGATTTGAAGCATGTTTTTATCATATTATTTACCATGACATTTTACAATAAGTAGCTTGTTGTTCATACTTCTATGAATGCCTCGTGTATAAATTAAATGCTACATTTATAAACGAGTCATGAATGAAATGAGATTAATCAAGCTGTAAAGATTTTTGACAAATTAAAAATCTTCTTTATTCAATTGGTTGACTCGCATCAAAATACCTGACCACGCCTCTTGGGGCTAGGGCTAGCTCCAAGTCTGAGGTCGTCTATGATCCTATCATTGGAATGTTTGTGATGGACAAGGCGAATGATATTTAGAGAAGTTATAGTCCCACCTATCCAATGTCAACTTAATTTGGTTTCTTTATAGGTATATATATTTTTTTGACAAAATTGGTTCGTTTGCTCAATGAATTGATTGATTTTATAGGTATATATGTTTTGAGACAATTAGTTTCTCTATTTACATCTGGGGTTGCCTAGATTTTTTATTTTTATTTTTATTTTCCTGGGATTCATAATTTAGTCTGATTTGATGAAGTTGTGAAGTCAAATGGTGATGAGAATGATGTTAATTAAAAGTACTAATATATTTTTTTATGAGAAACTAAACCAGTTTGCGAGCTATAATGATTTGGTGGTAATAAATTTGTATGAGTGGGAAAGTGGGACTTCATTGTAGGGGGTGGATGGGTAAGATTTGTAGGAATTCTAAGTGTACATGGTTTGAATGTTAGCTGAGCTGTTATTAAAATGAGTTGTTATTTGGATCATATAGATTTATTGGATAGCCTTGATTTGTTCAAAAATTTAGTTTTGCTTTACATGTGTTTGCATAATGTAGGTGGCATAGATATTCGATCATAAGCTTATGTAATGGTGAACTTGACTGGCAACATGCAAGTTGTCTCCACCCACAAAGTGAAACAATCAATTCCATTACATGTATGATATTGTCCGTTTTGGATCTGAGTCCACACGATTTTATTTTTGAGTTTTATTTCAAAAGGTCTCATATCAATTGGAGATAGTATTACCACATATCATCACTTCGCCCGTAACTCGCATAGTGTGTAGCTTGCCAGTATCTCTTATACCTGCCCACCCACAAAATCGCCACACAAAGGCATTTGGATAAAAGCATGTGTAAGGAAGAAGATAGATTGGGGATAAAAAAATATCGAAGATTGGAACGAAGCAATCATGAAGAGACATATATGGAATTTAATGCAGCCTACTTCTGATTGTTTGTGGGTTGTCTGGGTAAAGAATTGCGTGATAAATAGGAAGAATTTTTGGCAGATGTTGTATATTTCATAACAACACATGGACTTGGAAGATACTTCTAAATCTTAGGGATGTAATGAAGGGCGATATTTAGGATCAGTTTGTTTCAAATAAAATATTATTTTATTTTTACTTTGTCGGTGTTTGGCAAAGGTCTACATCGAGATTAAAATTGAATCTATCGGACGGGGCATGTAAAATAACTTGCCTAAAATCTTTGACACACTTAATTTAAACATTTGACATTTTAGACATCTTTGAATTCCTTAATTCAACACTCCCCCTCAAGTTGGTGCATATATGTCCCACATGCCCAACTTGTCTAAAAACTTTAAGAACACTCGATTTGAGACTACTTTGGTGAGAACGTCAGCCAACTGATCCTCTAATCGAATTTTAGGTAATTCCACAAGCTTTTCATCCAACTTTTCCTTAATGAAAAATCTATCTACCTAAACGTGCTTTGTACGGTCATGTTGAACTGGATTATGCGCGATGTCACATGCTGCTTTATTATCACAAAATAGTCGGATAGGTTATTTAGATAGATGACCCAAATCCCGCAACAGGTTTCTTAGCCATAATGCCTCACAAAGTACATTTACCAAACCTCTGAATTCAGCTTCTGCACTTGAGCAAGTTACAACATTTTGTTTCTTACTTCTCTATGTCACAAGATTACCTCCTACGAAAGTAAAGTAACCAAAGATAGATCGCCTATCATCTATGGATCCAGCCTAGTCAACATCAGTATATGCAACTATGTTTTGATAATCAGCATTTTTAGTAAACAAAATTCCTTTTCCATGAGTAGATTTCAGATACCTCAAAATGTATATAACTGCATTCATATGTTGCTCTCTATGATCATGCATAAACTGGCTAACGATACTCAATGCATACGCCAGATCCGATCTCGTGTGTGCTAAGTACATTAATCTCCCTACAAGTCTTTGGTATCATCCTTTATTAGCAGGTACTTGGTTGGACTCAACACATAACTTCAGTCCTTCTTCCACTGGTGTATCAGCTGGTTGGCATGCTGTCATGCCTGTCTCTTGTAATAAATCTAAAGCATATTTTCTTTGAGATAGAAAGATTCATTTATTAGATTGAGATACTTTAATTCCAAGAAAATATTTCAAATGACATAGATCTTTCATCTCAAATTCTCTGGACAAGTAATTCTTGAGAGCCTTCATTTCTTTAGAATCATTCCCTATAACCACCATGTCATCCACATGTACAATGAGTGCAATGATCTTACCCTGTTGTTTCTTCAGGAATAAAGTGTGGTCTGAATTGCTCTGATGGTAGCCAAAGGCTATCATAGACTTTGTGAACTTTTCAAACCATGCTCTGGAAAATTGTTTCAACCCACATAACGATTTATTTAACCTACATGCCTTCTAATTATGTTGTTCGGATATCATTCATCTTGGTGGGAGATCCATGTAAACTTCTTCGTTTAATTCACCATGTAGGAAAGCATTTTTTACATCAAATTGTTGTAATGGCCAACCCAAGTTTGCAGCTAAAGATAGCAGGACATGAACTGTGTTGATTTTGGCTACAGGTGCAAATGTTTTTGTGTAATCAATCACATAGGTTTGAGTGCATCCCTTTGCTACCAGTCTTGCCTTAAAGCGTTCTATTTTGCCGTCAGCCTTAAACTTCATGGTGTAAACCCACCGAAATCCAACTGGTTTCTTCCCTAGTGGAGGATCAACTAGTTCCCATGTGTCATTTTGTTTCAAAGATGTCATTTCCTCGTTCATAGCTGCTTTCCATCTGGGTCAGCTAAGGCTTCCTGCACACTGTTAGGAATAGATACAGTAGATAACTGATTCACAAATGACATGTTTGATTCTGACAAACCATGGTTAGACACATAATGACTCATAGGGTATTTTACTTTACTAGAAAGTTCAGGTTCATATGTAGGTTTAGGAATACCTCTGGTGTGACGCTGTGGCAACTGTCTTTTGTGTGGCTCAGGAATATCTTCAGTAAGCGATTGGTGTGGAGATGGAGCGATATGTTCCAAGACCTCGGTTTTAGGCTGAGTTGGAGATAGATCTATTTCTTCGGTTATTGGGTGTTCATTACCATTTGCATCACCAC